GGTGGAAAAGTGTTGGGAAGGGGCAGAGGTGGTGGAGGTGGCGGAGCAAAGCACTCTGGTTGAGAGGTCGAGGTGAGGCCGCGCCACACTCCGGGGGGGCACCCCGCCCCTCCTCCCTCTCAGATCTCCCCCCTCCTCACCGCGGTGCGAGTCCATGTTTGTGATCCGGAGCAGGACACCGCGGTAGTCGTCCGCGACGACGACCTGCACCACGCGCGAGGGCGGAGGGAGTGAGGTCGCGGCGCGCGCACAGCGGCGCGAGGCCGGCGAGCTGACCGCGGTCGGCGCGTAGACGCGCGACTCCATCATCTCCTCCAGCTCGCCTGCATGCGCCAGACAAGCGACCGCGTGTGGGACACGGGTGTCTGCCTGCCTCTCCACGCGGGCAGCAGCCGTCGGTTGGGCGAGAGGCGCGCCGATGTTCCAGCAGAGGCGCGAGTCGCCCAGGTTGGCCTGCGGCGCGGAACATCCGGTGTGTGAGCATCGCCTGATGCGTGTTGGGTGCGCATGCAACACTCGCAGCCAACCTGCTCGCCGCCGACCGCATGGCTGACTGTGGCGGCCTCTTCGACGGGGTCGACCTTATCGAGCTGACTCATGTCCTGCTCGTTGTAGCGCGATGCCATCAGAGCCATGACTGCCCCGCGCCTTTCGTTCGCAGGGTTGCGTATCTGGTGCGGCGGGAGTGGCGGTACGACTGTACATGATAGTCGCGGAGCGACGCGCGGGTGCGGGCTAAACTGCACGGCTGAAGCACAGGGCTGCGGCAAAGCGGGAGCGAGAAGGGAGTGGCGAGCGGCGAGTGGCCGTGCGGCAGGGCGCGCCCTGCAGGCTCTGCCGAGCGGGAAAGAAGCGCCGTGTTTCCGGGGGTGCTTGCACACGCCGAATGTGGTTTTAAAGAACTCGCTGTGGGAAAAAGAAAAGAAAGCAAACACGGTGCCGCGCAGTCGGGCCCTTGTCGAGCCGTGAGGGAGGCTCGCCATCAGCGAGCAGGCGTCGCTCCTCCGCGGCGCCGGGAAGTCGGCGTCGCCAGACACATCGTCTTTCGCCGCACGCTGGTCGGTCGGTGACTGGGCGTGCTCGCTGCTGCTTCTGGCCCTCGCGCTGTGGGCCGACTCGTGGCCACCCTTCGAGAGGGACGTGCGGCCGCAGTTGAACGACCCGTCCATCATGTATCCACACACGCCGCCGCTCGCGCAGCAGGTGCCCTCCTGGCTCCTCTGGCGGCTCTCGGTTGCACTTCCTCTGCTGCTGCTGCTGCCGCTCGCCGCGCTGCGACCGCGCGGCGTCCCCGCGACCCGGCTGCTCAATGAGCTGTGGCTGGGCCTCGTCACTTCGATCGCCACCGCCTTCCTCTTCACCTGCGTGGTGAAGGTCCACGTCGGCCGCCTCAGGCCCGACTTTCTCTCGCGGTGCATGCCCGTGGACGGCAGCTGCACCGGCGATGCGGCCGCAGTCACAGAGGGCCGCAAGTCCTTCCCGTCGGGGCACAGCACCCTCGTCTGGGCGGGGCTCGGCCTCGTTTCCATCGCCTACGCCGCGCGCCTCGCCGACCTCTCGACGCCACGGCTCGGTAGCCTCTTCAAGGTCGTGGTCGCTGCGGCTCCCGCGATGGTCGCGCTGGGCGTCGCTCTCAGCCGCGTAGCCGACTACTGGCACCACTGGCAGGACGTGCTGGTCGGCAGCCTGATTGGCTGCGTGGCGGCGTACGGCGCGTGGCGGCTGCGCTTCCCGTCGCCCGTCGCCGCGGTTCCGAGCGGCCGGTCGCGTCTGACGCCTCACGTCTGCGCCGAGGACCTCGAGCTGCTGGCGAAGGAGCACCGCTCGCCACCGTCGGAACGCGTCGAGGTGTGAAGATGTTTTGGAACGTTGTTGTCCGAGGTCTCCAATGAGGAATGTGTGGTCCTCTGCGCTCTGGGAACGGCACAGTCGCGTGCCGCCTTGGAGCACTTGGAGTGCAGTCAGTCGGCAACCTCACATCCAGGACGCGCGTTTTCTCTGCCTCACCAGGCGCCGGGCGCGCTCATCGAGTGACTGGCGGAGCGCCTCGGTCCCACCCGTGCAGAGCCCGCCGTATGGCATGGCCTCGTCCGAGAGGATGCCAGCGGGCGATCCGGACGCACTCATCCCGGCAGGGCGCGCAGCAGTCGCGAGCCCGAGGGTTGAGGCTGTCGGCTCGCTCATGAGATCGATCCCTGCGCCCGCAAAGGCGGCGCGCAGCTGAGGCGCCACATCGTGCGGGTCGAAGGGCGGGCTCAGGATGCGCTCCAGATTCTCGAGGAGCCGTGCAGAGCACGCTCCGTCCGGCAAGCCGGCGGTCGCGGCGCAGCGGTGGAGCAGGCCCGGGTCGCGCTGCAGTGCGGCGACCACCTCGCCGCGTGTTGGGAGCCGCCGCTGCCGCGACGAGGCGGGCGGGACGATGCCGCTCGTGCAGAAGGTTCTTTGTCGCAGCTTTTCTTTTTGTCAGGAGACGGAACACGGAGGAGCTGTATAGGTCACTAGAGACCCACACCATCGCTACATCACCACAGCCACCAAGTCGGATACAAGTCGATGACAATGTGCGCGGCAGGAGAAACCCAACAGCATGACAATGTGCGCGGCAGGACAAACCAAACATGAGACACGGTGGCACAAGGACGGTCAGGCTACGGTCAGGAAGTAGGTTTGAGTTCACACTCTCCAACTCTCCCCAATTGTCTCCGCAGTTCATGAATGAGGATGCGGCAGACAACAACAGCAGAGTGTGAATGGGCCACGGCCCATTTCCCCTTGAGCCGGTCGTCGAGGTCGATGGTGCCTGCTACTGCTGCTGCTGCTGCTGGTACTGCTACTGCTGCTGCTGCTCCGGAAGGAGAGAAGCAACGACGTGCTGCACAGAGCTTCCTGATCCTGCACAACGTTGCGAAGAGGAAGAACTTTGGCGACATTCTGCGTAGTGCTGCAGCGCTCGGCGTGTCGGAGGTTGCCGTCGTCGGCGCCGCAAAGCTGTCGTCGCACGGGGCGCAGGGCTGTGCTGGTCACCTCCGCTTCTCGCACTTCCACAAGCTGGACGACGCCGTCGCCTACCTGCGTGGCGTGCATGGCGCCGTCATCACCGGCATCGAGATCTCGCCGGAGTCGCGAAACGTCGCATCGCAGCCGTTCCGCGGTAGCCACGCCTTCATGCCAGGCAACGAGGGGCACGGGCTCACACCCGCGCAGCTGGCCGTCTGCGACGAACTGGTCTACATCCCTCAGCACTCGGCCGCCACCGCTTCGCTCAACGTCAACGCGGCGTGCGCCATCGTGCTGCACCACTTTGCCATGTGGGCGGCTCTTCCCGAGGCGGCCAGGGACGGGGCGTACAAGTACGTGACTGAGCCAGCGGCCTCATCGATCCCACGCTCGGGCGTGGGCCTGAAGCAAATGCGGACGCTCAACGCGGACGGGACCGTGGCGCCAAGGCGGCGCGCAGGCGCCGCAGGCGAGGCCGGCGGCAGCGGCGGGGAGGGCGAGGCTGGGGAGCTGGGGGAAGGGGAGGACTACAGTTGGGAGGGGATGGAGGCTTCGACGTAAGCTCACACTGTAGTAGTACACGTGTCATCGGACTGCAATTACCATACGTATCAACTCAATATCGTGGCTTTACACATACATTATACAGTCGCGAGAGTCGGTTAAGTATAAAATGGCCGTGTACACATGCATGCGGTTACTCACTTATGCACACACACTCAAAAAATAAATAAAGTTGCAACAAATCTCAACAAGTTTCTACCGCGTGGCCGTGCGCCCCCCCCCCCCTCCCCCAAGAGGGGCCGCACATTGTTTGCCGGTACCCCCCCTGCAAATTTAAAGTTATGGGGGACCCCCCCCCCAGAAGGAAGCAAAAGGTTTTTGTTGCTGGGGGGGGTGGGGACCCCCCCCCCAGCAGCAGCGTTTTGTTGTTGGGGGGGTCGGGACCCCCCCCCCCCCCCCCAGCAGCAGCGCTCTGCTGCTGGGGGGTGCTGGCATCTCTGTACAAGACAGCAGTTGTAAGTAAGTACGGTTAGCGTTCCAGTGGCGAGAATTTATGGTCGACAAAACCAGTGGTCTCACCGGCGTACCCTCCTACTGCCAGCCGGGCGCGGGGCACGCCAGTCTCTTTTCTTCTCCTCTCGTGCCTCGCGGCGCCTCTGCTTCAAGGAGGGAAGATATTGCTCTCGCAGCCCATACGGCGTGGCACAGCGGAGAGTACAGCGGGCTGTACAAGTTGCTCCATATCTTCGCATGCTCGTCGTTGGTGATATCCGCGCGAGGTCACACGCCACAGGCCAGCAATCACCCGAGTGAGTGGCTCACTATACGGCTTTTAGTGTGTGGTAGTACAAGATAGACTCAGCACTCACATGGTCACATCTTACAAACGCCAGCACTCGACACGACGAAGGTGTATTGGGCTCGAAGGCGCGGTGAACACAACCGACTGCCTCGAGCGTACCGCTAAAACAACACGAGCCGAGGTGGTCGGGACCCCCCCCCCCCAAACTCTAGCAGCAGGGATGACTTTAGATGTGCAGGGGGGGTAGCGAGAGCAATGTGCGCCCCCCCCCACCCCCCACCCCCACCGCCCACCTAGGGCATGACCTAGGGAACGCAAACGTTGTGACCATGGGGTTGTGTGACGCGTTTAATCTTTAAAGCCGTACGTGTGAAGGCAAAAAACTCAAAAGAGCTGAAACCATCACAAGTTAAAGCTCGTCGCGATCGTTGTGCGAGTGCATGGGAGTCTCGCCGAGGAGTCGTGGGTCGACGGGCTGCCTGGTGACGCGCCACGTGAGGGCGTACGCCACGAGGCAGCCGTCATCGAGGTGTTGCTGCTCCGTCGACGTGATGCACCACACCCAAAACAGTGGCTGCCCCCCGTCCATCCAAAATGATCCATCGGTGAGCACGCCACCGAGCCCGACTTGCAGGAGCATTGCGGGGTTGGTGCCGGCGAAAAAGTCGCCTATGGCAGACGTGCCAACAGAGGGTCTGCGCTCGCAGGGGCCGATTTTTTTAATCTCGACCTGACGCGCCCGTCTTCATGTGAGACTCGACTATCTCGGCCTCCGAATAGATTTCGCGGCCGCGTGCGTCGCTTCGGCGCGCGAGGTCTGAGACATGCGCCACCACGCCCCCCGGTCTCGTCAGGCTGGCGAGAACCTACGGGAATAGTACCAAGTGGCACTCGAGGGAGGAAGCCAGGGGTCGTCCACTGCATGAAAGCAACTCTCCAGCATGTAGTGGTCGACAAGCTTGGAGATGGCCTCGCCAAATCTAGATAAAAAGGCTAGTATTTGGTGTGTGCGAGGTGGGAAGGAGAGTGGGTTTGGGGTGCCTTTGCGGCGATACAAGCTTCTTCACGGCGATCGCCAGCTGCGAGATGAGTGCGGTCCCCGCCACGACGTCGCAGTACCGACCGACAGAGCTTGAGATCGCCGCCACCGCCTTGCCGCTCGCAAGCGCGTCCAGCACATCGTCGTCACTCATGCCTATCGGGGGGTGCATTGGCCATTCTCGCTCACGCTACCTGGGAGATGCATTGGCCATTGCTGCCCTCGTCCTGACAAGTTGTGCGAGTGTCGTCTCAGCAGAATCGTCTCTATACGATCAACTCTCTCTGTACGATCATCTTTCTCTGTACGATCATCGCTGTACAAGCGTGATGTGCACCGTCGGACAGGCCGAGCACGTCGACGCCTCGCAGTGTGATGGAGGGCGAGTCTGGTGCCACCATCTGCCTGCGTAAGCCTCGCTCCAGCGCGGCCAGGTCAATGTCGATCAGTTCGATGTGCGCGTAGATCCGCTGCAGCTGAGATAGCTCCACGTCATTCAAGTTGCCGGCACCGACCACGCAGAGGCGCCTCTGAGCACTCTGCGAATTCGAGCCAAGCTTCTCGAGGATCGCAGTAACACGCCTCCGGTGCGGCGTGAAGGCAATCCAGCTGTCTGCAGTGACGCGGTTGTTGTGGGTCTCTGTGGCGCTATAGGGAGCCATATTCTTCGCGGCGACCAGTGGCGCGGTGACGAAGAGTAAATGAGCGCACATTGGGCAAACCGCTACGGCTGCCGGGGGCGCTCAAACTCCGCCCGGTGCTTTCCTGGTTGCCCGCTCGCGATGGCGGGGCACAAAGAGGCGGAACTTGAGCACTGGATACAGTTGTAGGGTCGATTCCGCATGGTACGGGACCCCTCGATCGTCTCGCCCTCCCTCACTGGTGTGTTCATTGGGGTGGGGTCATAATAAACACGGGGTTCACAGCGACCCGGACCCAGAGATCACGCACACGAGAACGCACACGACAGTCGAGAACAGACATACAGAGAGGCAGAGAGTAAGCTAAAAGACGACATACACACCTCTCCACACTCTTCGTGCGAACGCCGAATTCTTTCTAGTGAGAGAGAGCTTTTAGAAAACCAACAAGAAATTGGAGGGACGTCCGCCGCAATTCGGACAATGCTCTTTCCCACGCCCGCCACATGACGCCCACCGCCGCCGCGTCGGTCGGCGCGCGCCGACGCCGACCATCACCACCGACCGACGGCTCGCGCGGCCGTGCGGTGAGCAAAAATTTTGGTCGCTGCGCGCCTGCCAGATGCTCTGCGACGTCTGGACGCTCGCCAGAAACGCCAGGAAGCTTGCCTTCCACCCCTGGGCCCGAGGGCGAACGGCATTGGTCGGCAGCCTCTGCGACGCTCCGATCGGCTCCTCGACCTCATCGCCTGCGACGAGCCAGCATGGCTCGTCGCTCGACGGCAGCCTGCTCAGTATGCTCTTGGCATTCTGTACAGCCTCGCCAGGCTCTCTGAGACGGCCTGCAGGGCCGGCGCGGACCGCCTCGGGCGCGATGGCCCTCCTCAGTACCTACCTCTTCGATGCCTGTCGGCTCTCCAATCTCGTCGCCGGCGGCAGGCCCGCATGGCGCGCTGCTCGATGGCAGCCTGCTCAGTACGCCTTGGACGGTGACCTCTGCCTCGCTGCTCTTACTGCAGCCGCCTCCGGGGCCGGCGCCGGCCGCCTCGCTTCGCCAGTGCTGTCTACGCCTGTGACACGCGTGTCGGCTCGCCGCCCGCGTCGCCCGCGGCGGGCCCGCATGGCTCGCCGCTCGTCGGGAGCGTTCCCAGCAGGCTGTGCAGGGCAGTCTGCCTCACTCAGGGCGCCGCCGCCGCTGCGCGGGGCCGCCACCGGCGCTGCTGCCGCGAACACTGCCGCCGTGTACGTCACCATCGCCTCTCTTCGTCGCCGATCTCGCCGACGCCGCTCGCCGCTCGCCGCCGCCCTGCCCTGCCCTGCCCTGCCCTCGCACAAACAAACACACACATACACATACACACACATACACACACACATACACACACACAACACACCCTGCCCCAACCTCGAGCGCCCCGCGCCTCCCGCCTCACGCCCTGCGCCTCACGCCGCGCGTCCCACGCACGCCCCGCGCCCCGCGCCCCCTCACCTCGCGCCTCACGCCTCCCTCCCCACCCTCTCAGGCATTTCTCCTCCCTGCTGCTCGCCGACTCCTCCTCCCCCCGCATGACCGACGACTACCCGACCTTCGGCGACTCCTCCCTCTTCGGCGCCAACGTCTACTACCGGGGGACCGTCGCCCTCGGGCGTACTGGAATGATCCCAGCGGCACACGTCTACGAGGGGGGGCTCCGAAAGGTCGGCATGCCTGGCATGTCGGGCGACTAGGCAGGTCATACGCTCACAAATCACTGCCCGCCAGCACAAGTTCGGTATCAGCAGTTGAGTCGCATCCAGTGGATCGGCAGAGTCAGGGCGGGTTCTGCACCCAGGACCTCGCCCGTTACCCGCGTCACCACTAGACGCTCATCTCATCCTGCTCAATGATACGCTGAACAGCAAACTGTCCACCCCGACCACAAACACAGTCCATCGGGCTGGTCCATGTGGTGGCGGCGCCTTGCGGTGTGCACGAGATGCGGATCCGCGTGGAGACTGCGCGCCGTCCACCAGCCGCTGAATGGCTGTACGGGCTGTTCGAGCCGACAGAACAACGACAACTGAATGCGGAAATGAATGCTCTCGGCGCCAATGCTCTGATCTGTGTAGCGCCTGCGCGTGCCGCCCTGCGCAGCGGCCCATGGGCCTTTGCGATCCACAGCGCTCCGGCCATGGCGATTGAATCATGGCGCGAGGCGCGCTGGCTCCATGGCAGCACGTTGAAGCAAAGCAGGTGGGGACGAGGACGCGCGTAAGGACGCGTCGCCATCTCTGCTGTGAATAGAGGGAGAGTGCTGCAGCGTTGGAACCGCAGCTCGGCGCCTCGCCCTCAGCAGAGCGGGCGAGAAAAGCTGAAGCTGTTCGCGCCACATCGAGGATGGCGCGGTTCACCCCCTTCACCGAAGCGATGGAGACGCGTTCCGCGTGCATGTCCCGTGTTACAAAGTTTGCGATGAGGAACCAAAACGATTTTCAGTGTACGTACGTGTATGTAGCTCTTACGCACATTCCCGGAGGAGGACTCTGAAAGAAAGAAAGAAAGAAAACAGACAACCCAAGGGAGGGATGGGGAGGACGGCACGCCGCCACCACACAGGAGGACTCTGCCGAAAGGGTTTGCACGGCGCGATTTCTATTTTTAGTGCAATACACCAACTACAAACTTATCATCAGGGGGACCATCTACCTCATCTATCCCCCCAAATCTGAAACGAACTGTTGGAAGGCATGCTCAATGGCGAGGGCTGAGGCCTACCCATCACCGCCGCCGCCACCGCCCTCACCACCCCCGCCCTCGTCGCCGCCGCCGCCGCCACTGCCCTCGCCACCGCTGCCCTCACCGCCGCCGCCGTCACCACCACCCTCGCCGCCCCCGTCCTTACCGCCGCCGCCACCGCCCTCACCACCCCCGCCCTCGTCGCCGCCGCCGCCGCCACTGCCCTCACCGCCCCTGCCCTCACCGCCCGGCTACGGGACCGGCCCCAGCTTCGGCTGAGGGCTAACAAGCTGCCGAGCCCAAATCACTGTGAGAGTCGGGATTTCTTGTTGGTTAAAAAAAATCTCTCTCTCCTCTCTCTCAAACACAAACAACAAAACAAACAAAGCACAAACACACAAACGAAACCAAGAGAAAAGGAACGCAGGCGCCGCGGTACGCCTCAAAATCCAGCCAGAAAAGCCGGCGTTACGCGATTGCTGCGCGACGCGCAGCATCGTGCGGGCCCCCGATTTTTTCCCACCACCGCCCAACCGACAGAACCATGGGCGCAGGCCCATCTCTGTCGGCGCTCGAGCTGGCCGTGGAGGCCAACGACTCGTACGCCCTCGACCAGCTGCTGGACGTGGTGACCTGCCCCCTCGACGGCGTCCTGCCCGACCAGCGCGACACGCTCCTCTCACTCTCCGCGCGGCGCGGCCACGCGAGCTGCGCTCATCTGCTGCTCTACCACGGAGCACGCGTGGATGGCCGCCTCGGCGAGGCGGGCCGTCGCGCCACGCCGCTCTATGTCGCTGCGCAGGAGGGCCACGAGGACCTCGTCGAGCTCCTCCTCCGGCACGGTGCGGAGATGTGCGCGCGGCCTTCGGACAGGATGCGCCCGCTGCACGCCGCCGCAAAGGCTGGCCACGAGCAGGTGGTGCGGCTGCTGCTCGACGCAGGCGCCGTCGTGGAGGCGCCGATGCGCGGCGGCGGGACGCCGCTGCAGCTCGCCGTCGCCTACGGGAGGCTGCCCGTCGTCCGGCTCCTCTGTGCGCGCGGCGCGCTGCGCTCGCACACTGCTCTTGGCAGCCTCGACGAGACGGCCACGGCGCTCAACCACCCCGACGTGGTCGTGTACCTGCGCGCGAGCGGCAGGTGGTCGCCGTTGGCGCACCTGGAGGCGCTGCTGCCGGGCGAGGCTAGAGAGCTGCTGCGCGCCGGCGCCAGCCTCGACACGGGCGTGCCATCCCCGCGCTGCCGGGCGCAAGCCGCGGCGGAGCGGCTGCCAGGCAGCGGGACGCTCCCGGCGAGGCTCGTGCTGCAGGCGGCGGAGCCGTGGTCGCCTCAGAACCACCACCTCTTCCCGGCGCGCGCTCGAGCGCGAGCACGGTTTTTGGCGAAGGTGGGCAACGTACTCGCGCAGCGGTACGCGCCGCTTTCACCCAGCGGGCTGGGTGATGTGTGGGTGACGGCGGTGATGCCGCTCGCCGTGCACCGACACAGCGTATGAAAGACACGGCTCGCATCAATGCGTCCGTGTTTGCCCTTGTGACGTCCATGTCCATGTCATGTTGAGAGAGACACACGTGAGAGACGACTGTCCTTGACACCTCATCGCTCTGCTTCGACTGCTTGTGTCCGCGCCTTTTTTTGTCATGTGTATCTGTATCTCGTGGTCGCGCTCTCTCTCGAGAGAGGCGCGCAGGCGGCGCGCCTCTCGGCCCCCCTGTGCCTTGCGTCGCCAAGGCTGTCTCGAACGCGGTCTCACAACTATACGGTGCACATGGGACATGGCGCGCTCGAGAGACTCCGGAGTGACTCTCGATCGACCTCTCTAGGAGATCTATAATTAAAATTCTTGCGCTCACTCTTTTACATACATACGATGAAACATAAACGACCCCTAACTTACCATATCTCTCCACCACTTTGTGTGTGAGGAGACGCTTACCTTACCTTACCTTATCTCTCTCCTCTAGAGGAAGTCGAGCGAGAGCTCGCCTCTCTCTCTCGTCGAGGTCGAGCTCGAGAGGAGCGCGCCAGAGGGTCGGCATCTAGCGGGAAGGGGGGGGGGGGGGGGCGGGAGGCCAAAAGCCCCTACAGACCCGACGCGAAGGCAGAGGCGGCACCAAACCCTCGCCCCGAGCTGCCTCGAGACGCCCGCGGGTGGGGATCGCACACTCGGTGCGCCTCGAGTCGTCTAGGATGCGGGGGACTCCCAGTTGACATCCTGCGCGAGGGCGGCGCGACCCGGTGGAAAAGGGCGGCAACCCGGTGGAAAAGGGCGGCGGGAAACGGCGGCGGCCGGCGGTGTGTGTGTGTGTGTGTGTGTTGGGGGGGAAGAAGGGGGGGGGGGCCGCAACCGGGGAAAAGGGTTTTTTTTTTTTTTTTTTTTTTGGGGGGGAAAAAAGGGGGGGGGCGGGACGGGGGGAAAGGGTGTTGCCGCCCCTGTGCTTGCGGCGATCGCGCGTTCTTCATGGGGCTGCCCACCGGCGCCTGCCGGAGGAGGGGTGGGGGAGGAGGGGGAGGGGGGGGGGGAAGATGTGGCGCGGGGGTGGACGGGCGACAGCAGCCTCGGTCCGAGATGCGCCTTGTCCGCCCGCGCTCGTTGGGCAGGCTTGCTCTTCATCTTGCGCGCAGGGCTCCTCGCGGCCCGCCCGGTGCGGCGTCGAGGCGAGCCGGTGCCGCCGGCGGACGTGCCGACAGTTCCGGCCATGCGCCCACCCGGCACTCGGGACCGAGGGAGCTGGCCAAGCAGGACCGCCCGCCCGTTCACTACCTCCCCTTGCGGCTCCACGAGTATGCCGACCGCGGCGCAGCACAGAGGCTGCATGGCCCGCGGCGAACGCCACGTGTAGCCGCAGCCGGAGCAGGATGGCGGCTGCTCGGCGTGGCACTCCGCACACGTCCAGCAGCCCTCAGCGGGGCAACGCCAAACCCACGCGCGCGTGTTCTCCTCGGCCGCCCGGGAGGCGGGCGCGGGAGCTATGACCCGATGGCAGTGGGTGCAGGGTGAGTCTAGGTAATCGTCGTTCCGTACGGCGCCATTGACCAGCAGGACGTCTAAGAGCTTGGCAAGCAGGTACGTCAACATCCAGGCGGTGGAGCCCGGCACGAGGGCCTCGTCCCTGAGGGGGGGCAAGAGGCGCGGAGGCTGCGAGGGCCGCCCTAGAGCTCCGCGCAGAGGTGGTGGAAGGGCAGGGAGGGAGAGAGGGCAGCCACCGGTGGAACGGCGACGCGTCGCGAGCCAAGCGTCCGGCCGCCCAGCGGAGCAGCAGGAAGCGGTTGGACGGCAGCCTGTGCTGGGCGTCCAGGGGCAACCAGCCGAAGACGCCGCGCACCGCCACAAAGGAGAGCATCCACGCCCAGATTTTGCCTGAGAAACCGACGCGGCTGAACCATGGCTGCGCCGATACGGTGGCCCAGACATTGACGTGTAGGGCCATGAGCATGCGGGGCTTGAGGCCCGTCAAGATTCGCCAGCGTCGATCCGCCTCCTCGCCGCGCCGGCCGAGCAGCTTGCCGCACTGGGCGGAGGTGCTGCTCACGTAGGGCACAAAGAGGCCGCGAAGCTCTTCGCGAGGCCAGAGAAGGAGCCACACCAGAAGCCACGGCAGGAGAGCGATCAGGGACCAAGGCAGCGCTGCCATTGCGCTGGCTGATTGTTTCTCTCCTTCTTGCGTGAAATCCGGCACGGTTTCACGCCTGCTCTGCTGAGGGGAGGGGCACGGCTCATAGCGGCGAGTCGAGGTCCTGCCTCTGGCCCCCGTATGTGATACTCCCCATGTGCAGCGAGATGTAACGAACGGACGTCGGCGCAACTTCTCGTTGGCAGGTGCGTCGCGAGTCGCGTTCGTCCCAGCTCTCTGCTCTGACAAAAACAAAATCTCTCTCTCTCTGCTCTGGGTTCTGATTTCAGTCGCCCCACCCTCCGCTCCCTTGCGACTCTGTGATTTGTTCGGTTGTTCCACCCTCAGAGGTGTGTCTTGCAGGCTGTTCTCCCGTCGTCATCCCTCCGCCTTTCATGTGCATGTTTGCTGCCTGCGTTGTGTCGTGTGTGCCTGTTTGTCCCGGGGAGGGGGCTAGGGGGCATCGCCTTCCTCCCCCACGCCACGCATGTCAGGCTCGGCCGCCGCGAGGTCTCGCGGCGGCTTGGCTGAGGGTCTCTCTCTCTTAGGTTCGCGTATGCCGCAAGAAGAGAGGTTCTCGAGGACGAGGTGGATATCCTTTTGGCCGCCGTTGTTTCTCAATGTATGTAGCTCTTACGAACATTCCCGAGGGTGAACTGCTGACAGGGTTTGCGATGAGAAGCGATCCGAACGTGGCTCGTGGCATTCGGGTGATTAGATCACTACCGCCGTAACGCAAGAGCACTGCGACGGATCGGGCTCATGCTAGGAGCGCTAGCATCCTAGCATCCATCCACCACGCGGCCCGATGTTCTGGCCCAGCGAGGCTGCTGCGGTGCTGCGGAGCACTCGCGGGCCGACTTTCTGGCCCAGCTTTCTCGTTGTTTCCGAGCGTGCCGCAGTTTCTTGATTCTTGTGGGCTTCGCCGCATCGAGAGCCGCGCGCCGGGGAAACCCGCTAGCGGGGCGCGAGAGCAGCGCGTCACGAAGCCAAGTTGTTTGGTATTGCTAAAAAATCTCTCTCTCTCTCGAAGCCACGGACAGCGCTCACCAAAAGGACGAGGCACGGTGGTGGTGGTGTTGTGGTTGTTTTGATCTGGTCACCGCTCGCAAGAGTTTTCTAAAATCTCCCCCCCCTACCGCTCGCCGGTCGTGCCTCGAACGTTCGGAGAATACACGGCCTGAAAAAGAAACCGCTGAGCGGCCCCATTAACGCCGGCCAGCCAGGATCCACCTCGAGAACCTCGAGAAGTTATGCCTCCCTCGAGGTGGACTTTGGCAAGACGGACCAAAGCCCAGACGTTTGGCTGGCGCAAGCCCTGCAGTGCGCGAGCCCGGCTGCGCACTCGGCGTCTCCTCTCGCCCCTCACCCCGCGCGCGGTTCCCATCCGCAGGGATCATATTCGACACGGACGAGCCGCCTTTCGAGCCGGCCGACCACTACCATTGCGGATGCGCCCATCATGGGCTGCTGGCATTTCTTCGGGCGAAAGACCCCCACGCGACGCGCCAGCAGCTGATCACGCGTGTGTGTCGGGCCTTCAGACACTTCAAGAATTACGGATCCCCCTTCCGGGGCTGCGGGATCCGGTGGTTTGCCCGCCGACTGGGCCCGCCCGAGACGTGCCTGGCACAGATCGTCGTCCGCTTAAACGACCGAGAGCCGAGCGCCAGACACATACCACTCCAGCGCGATTCGCGAGCTGACTGGGAGGTACACCCGTGCCGCGGCGCCGCACGCCTCGCCCTGCTCTTCTCTGATGGCACCCCTCCCCTTTTCAGGCGATGGTGGGCATGAAGCCCAGCATCGAGTATGAGGTTGGTGGGCGTGTTGAGCCACTCCCGGTGCCGGACAAGAAGTCCAAGCTGGTGCGCCTCCCGCGGGTCCACTGGACGGCGTTCATGGCGAAAATGGACGACGCGCTGACGGGCAAGAAAGGCGCCAGGGGCGCCAGGGGACCCGCCCCCATCACTTACCCTGCAGGGGTAACTAAGATAGAGGAGGCGCCGGGGCGCCGGTGGCTGGTCCAGTGGACCGAGAAACCTGCGAGGCGGCAGGCCAACAAGGGTCGTGCTGGGTATAGTCTGCGGTGCACGGAGCCGTCAGGGTTCGTGCACCGCAGCCGTGTGGATGTGGAGGTAGCGATAGGGATCGCACACTACTCCCGCACATTGTTCTAGACGCACTTGCAGCCCCCCCCAAAAGAAAACAGCATAACCATAAGCCATCCGGCTCGACGGCCGCGAGGTGGCATGAAGGTTGCAGCGAGAAGCGGCGAGAGACTGCGAAGAGAGATACGAAGAGGCAGACTCCCCAGGGTGGGCGACGGCTAGCGCATCACACACCTCTCCTTAAAATCCCTGTGTGGTGGCGGCGTGCCGTCCTCCCATCCCTCCCTTGGATTGTGTGTTTTCTTTCTTTCTTTCTTTCGTCGCGCGCGGACGCGGGAAAGCAGGACACGTCCATGGAACACTGTATCACTGTGATCACTGTCCGGCGTGCACCTTTGTGCGCCGCGGGCACGACCCCTCCTCCAGGCTCACCTCACCGACCTTCAACTTGCTCGGCGGTGGCGGCGAGGACGGGCTGGGCTGGAGGGGGGAAGGCGTGAGGTCCAGCCACCCTGCCACCGCCGTCGAAAACGGCGTCTTCTACTCGCTCCTGATGCTTCAGACTCGAGGTTGGTTGTGCAACTCCTGGACGGAGCGACCTCGTTTTCTGCCACAACAACTGGCACTCCAAGGCCAAAGGGTGCACCCCGAACTTTTATGAGCAACCCGGCGCATTCCCACCGCCTCCTCCCTCGCCAACGCCGCCGCCGTTTCTCGCGTCCAGCGCCATGCCGTGCATTACCGCCACGGTCATGCAGCGCAATCCCGACTGCGCTCAAAATCTTGCCTTTCCGGTGCGCCCCTCGCCGCCGCCGCTCTCGCCGCCGCCGCGCTCCAGCTAGCCACGCGAGGCAGCCACAGCCCCACGGCGTGCGGTAGACACTCACGCACTGCACCCTGCTCCCTGGCCCTGCCTCTCGCCCCACGCGCCTCGCCCCGACCCCTGCAGGAATCCCCCTCGACCATCCTCATGTGCACCGACGCCAGCTGCTGGGAGGCGCGCTGACTGTACTGACCGGGCTTCCCCTCCTGCGCCGCCTCCCACCGCTAGTCCAGGCCTCACCCCTACTCCGCGGCCCCGCTCGCAGAAGGCGCTGAAGGGGCCGGCGCCGCCCGTGTGCATGCCCTGCACCACGTTCGGCGTCGGGTTTGTCAACAGCGCGGCTCCCCCAGGCGGTTTCCCCTGGGCGCGCCACGCGCCGCCTTGCTGCGAGAAAGACGTCGGCCGCAGTACCGTCCACCTCGGTGCCTCTGTGGACGCGCACCCTTGCTGCAAGGTCGGCACGAGGAAAGACGGCTCCTGCGTGCCGTGTGGTTCGGTGTGGGACCGGATCGGGTGACGCGTGTGACTTGAAGAAAACACCCGCACCGCGAATAGCCCATCCGCCTGCACGCTCCACGCTCCACGGACCACGCTCCACGCTCCACGCACCACGGACCACGCTGCAGCCACAAAAAGTCGCCAGGTTCTTTTGTTTTTTCAAAATGCAAAGAAGATCAATCACAAAATGCCTTGGGGGCAACAGGACGCGGTACAATGGGGTACACCAAAAGGCACGGGCTACCTGCACGGCGTTCACTCGAACGCCATTGCACATGGCGCGGAGCAGCATCGGGCCCAGGCGAGGAATTCTTTAGCCGGTGGTGCGACGCTCCACGGCGCGCTGGCCAGCGGTCCAGCTTTCCCTGCTACCCCAGTCGGGCAGCCCAAGGTTATGTCGGACACCGTCTATCGGCTGTACCGTGTCCGGCGCACAATCCACCAGATGCTTCGCGACCGCCATTACATGATCGACCAGTCCGACATTGACATGAGCGAGGAGGATTTTGCGCGGTCGTATACGGGCGAGCGCGAGGGGCTGACCATCCAGGCGCAGCGGCGGGACGACCCGACCGACCAGATCTTTGTCTTCTGGCCGACGGACCCGAAGGTTGGCGTCAAGCCAATTAAGCGGTGCGCGGGCGGGGGGACCGGCGGCGCGGCGGCGGCGGTGGCAGCGCCGCCCCGCTTGTGCCGTTTTTTCGACGGGGGTGCCCCCCACGGACAGGTATATGGATCGGATGAACGAGGACGACGTGAAACGGGCCATCCTCGTCGTGCAGCAGAGCCTGACGGCCTTCGCCAAGCAGGCGATCGTCGAGATCTGCGCGCAGGAGGGGACGATCCTCGAGCAGTTCCAGGAGGCGGAGCTGCTGGTCAACATCACGGAGCACGTGCTGGTGCCGATGCACGTGGTGCTCTCGCGCGAGGAGAAGCAGACCCTCCTCAAGAGGTACCGCCTCAAGGAGAACCAGCTCCCGCGCATGCAGGCGCACGCCTCCCGCCTCCCGGCCTCTGCCCTCGCCTCCGCCCCCGCCTCCCGCCTCGCGCCTCCCGCCTCCCGCCTCCGCCACACCAGCCCCAGGCCCGCCCGGCCCGCCGTCGCGCTCGCCTCACGGCCAGCCCTGCCCCCCCAGGTCTCGGACCCGGTCGCCCGCTACTATGGCCTGCAGCGCGGGCAAGTAGTCAAGATCGTGCGGCCGAGTGAGACTGCAGGCAAGTACGTCACCTACAGGCTAGTCTTTTAGAGAGGGGCGCGGGCTCGTATCACGAAAGGGGGGGGGGGGTTGGCGCCGAGCCGCGGGTCGACACATTGTTGTCATGAGGGGGAGCAGCGGCTTGCGCTGCGGCATGTACACCGCGAAGCTCTACTGATGTCTCGATATACGCATGTGTGTTGACGACGCAAAAATAAGACGTACTGTGTAATCAGCGCGTGCTCCACGCCCCACCGTGGCGCGTGGGCGTGGGGCGCGCGCGGCGGGCCGCCGCCACGCCCCGACACACCGCCGCGAGCGCGACCGCGCAGGGTCCAGGGACCGCTCCGCCCAGCGCCCACCTCCCCCCGCGCACACATACTTACAGTCACGGCTCTCGGGATCATGGTACCGCACGCAAGCACACGAGAAGCTCGGGCGTCAGCTCGGCCTCCCGTTTCTCGTCTCGCCTAGCTCTATGCCTCTTTCCGCTTGTCCTGCTGGGCATCGATGTGTTCCAAGCCGCCGTCATTCCGACGAGGCAGAGCAGGCTCGAGCCGAGCGCCGGCGCGGTGGCGCCGAGCCGTTCGTAGAGCTGCCTGTTCAGAGACGGGGTCTGCGTGTCGGGCCAGCGGAGAGCGCCGGGCCTCTATGGCAGAGCGGGTTGCCCCGACACCGCCGGCATGAGCACGCCGGCGAGAGCGACCAAGCAGAGTCGCCGATGCCGAGCAGCGATCCGCGGCACTCCGCGGGGCACGCCTCGCCGAGGAGAGCGGTGAGCAACGTGAGCACGCAGCCCACCCCGAGCGTGATTGGCAGGAAGCAGCAGACGAAGACCTGCCGCAGCGGAGGTCGCGGGTGGGCGCGCAGGAGAGGGAGACCTGACGCCTTGGGGGCGGGCGGCGACCGCGTGGCTTGCCGCGGAGGAGGCGGCGAGGGAGCGAGAGGAGGCTGTCAACGCCAGACCCAGCCGGCCCTGTGGGCAGAGGCAGACCGAGGTGTGGGCGGGAGCGGGAGGTGAGGCCGTGCCAGTGGGGCAAGCAGCGACCTTGAGAGAAGAGGGGAAGGTGGACGGGAGGTGAGAGGGAGGTCAGGCGGCGCACACCAGCGCGATCAAGCCGAGCGCGGCGTGCAGCAGCCTCCGCCGGCTCAGCCGCTGCTGCTGCACGAGACTCGGGACGAGCAGCAGGTTCGAGACGCCAAATTCCCACCCCACGAGCGCAAGCAGGTAGCCTTGCTCTAGCGAGGTGTACCCGAACCGCTGGGCCGTGACGGCCGCGGCGGGGTCGACGTGAGGTAGACAAGCTGCGACGAGGAGAATATTGGCCGTCGCGCAGAGGGAGGCAAGCCCGAGTGGCGCAGTCAAGCCTCCGGTGCTCAACCTACCTCCGATGGCATTACCAACCGAGAAGCCGAGCCCGAGGGCGCCGAACGTCTGGCCCACCGCCGCGGCCGCAGTGCCGTGTCGCGTCGCGAGCAGCTTCACCGGCGGCTGGAGCGACCCTTTGGCCACCTCAGCCAGCACACGGCCGGTGCAGGGAAGCCATAGGCCGCTCCCGCGCAGCAGGTAGCATAGAGTGGAGCAGACAGAGAGCAATGTAGACATGAGCATCGCACGCTTTGGGCCATGACGGTCCGCGACCGCGCCAAACGCTATGCTGAAGCCGCAGGCGTTGCACAAGCTCTGCAGTGTACCGTATAGCGCTGGCCCGAGCTGCTGGCTCTTCAATTGAGACGGAAGGAGCGGCTGCAGTAGCGCGCCACTCAACATCGCCAGGCCGTTCAACCGCCATGAGAGTGCGCAACATATGCCAAAGGGCTCGTCGGGCCAGGTCTCGACGAGCGACCCGGGCCAGGTCGCTCCGAGAAGTTCGCTCCTCCAGGTCGCTCCGAGAAGCTCGCTCGCGAGCGAGCTTCTCGGAGCGACCCTCGACGATGCGCGCGAACGACGCGCGTCCCTTCGTTTTCAACTCAGAGGTTCACGAGCGTTGAACTCCGCCACATTTTTACGACGCGGTCGCCCTCTGGCGGGCTCTGCCACGCGATGGCACCCTCCAGCACACTCGGCCTCAATCGGTCAAACTCTGTTACAGTGAAGGAGTGCAGCAGAGTGTGGTTGAGTGCAGGTGGGAATCAAATAGTCGTCCGGTTGCGCACACAGTCAGCACACGAACTCGGCCACACTCGGTCACACCCAGAGAATCCGTTGGGACGGAAGCCAGAGCGCTGCAGCGCTCTCCCACAGGCAAGCAAACTCTGCCGCACTCAGCCGCACTCAGCCGCAATCTGCTGCACTTTGCTGCACTCTGCTGCACTCTGCTGCACTCTGCTGCACTCTGCTGCACTCTGCTGCACTCTGCTGCACTCTGCTGCACTCGGCCAGTCAGTGGCGTGGCAGCACACACAATCCACCGGCACGGTAGCACTGAGCCACCGCACGGAGGCGCGGGCCGCGTCTCCCCGCCAGCCCTCTTGTTCGAGTCTCGCACCCACCGTGCCGGCGGCCCGGCGGCCGCCGCGCCTGCCGCCTCCTTCCTGAATGCACAGCCCCCGGTTCGCGCCGGGCCGTTCTCCGCGACCAGTCAGAGCAGCCTGTCCTACTCGGTCACGCGACGACAGCGGCACGCGAGCGCGGCCCTCGCCACGGCCGCGCCACAACAAGAGCTGGCCAAAGGCTGCGCGGCAGCGGCGAGACGCACATCGCAGCGGCCGAGGCAGCGCGCACCCGCCGAGCGTAGACTGCCTACACGCAGGCCGTGCATGTGAGCTCTCCAACGTACGCGCCGTGCGGCACGACCAAAGACCGACGCCTATCCGGCGAGACAAAAGAGCACCGACGGCGACGCCGCACATCCGTGTAGGTGTTTAGGTGCACGTCGGCCTCTCGTGCCGTGCGCAGGAAGAGAGAGGCGCTGCCAGAAGCTCGCGCGGGCGAAGTGGTAGAAAGATCGTTGGGGAGCGCCAGGCCAGAAAGCCCGACAGCCGTCGAGCGCTCGGCCGGCGCATAAAAAAAGAAAAACTGTTCGCCTAAATACTAGTGGGCACAGAAGGAGGGGTGTGGCTTGCCACGTTGGCGGATACGCACCTAGGCGAGAAGGAAATGCGCGAAGTGATAGAGTACCTAGAGACGATGGGGATAGAGGCGTGCGGGACCCCAGCCTACAATGACCCGGCCTCGCGCGCGCTCAAAGCGGGGGTGTTGATTGTGTGGGACCCAGACCACCTGCAAGCAAAGAGAGACGGGAAGGGTGAGGTGGCCATGGAAGAGGTGGTGAGAGGTCGCGTCGTGAAAGTGGAGATGGAGGACGCGGCAAGCGGACTGGAGTGGACACAGATAGGAGTCTACATGCCAGTGAGGGGACGGGCTAAGATAAAGGTGGCGGCGAGGGGAGGAACGGACGACACAGAAACAAAGGACCCAGCGCAAGACGCGTGGGAGAGCCTAAGGGACGAGCTAGACAGAATCGACGGGGAGTACATGATCGGTGGAGACTTCAACGCCGAGACGGAGGCCTTCCTACGAAGCAGAGGTAGAAAGGAACGGACTCTCTCAGACAAGATGTTCAACAGCATGCTGACCGAAGTGGGGCGAGACCTGAGAGCGATGGCGAACGACGCAACGTACCGGGCGGGCACGCAAATTGACAACTGGATAGTCACCGAGGGCTGGATAGATGAGCGGTCCCGGACGACGCATCGACAAGAGGCGCTTCAATCGCGCTCATGAGAATGTGGTGCGCTACGTGAAGCGGCATCAGCTCTTCGCCCAGGGGCGGGCCTTCACGCATAGCGTTGAGGAGCTTGCCACAGTCATGAAGATGGTTGGCCACGTGAGCGCCCTGGAGCTGCGCCGCTTCCAGCGGTTTCGCTCGTTTGGGCCGTGGCCCCACTAGTAAATAAATATAAAACGGACATCCCAAGCTAGGCCTAGGGCTGGGGTTGAGGACAGACACGTCCCCACCTTTGCAGGATTTTTGCAAGGGCGAGGGAGGGGGGGGGGGGGGGGGGCGCATCGCGGCGTGGAGAGGGCTGGGCACAGGGCCCACTAGTATTTAGGTGAAGAGTTTTTCTTTTTTTATGCGCCGGCCGAGCGCTCGACGGCTGTCGGGCTTTCTGGCCTGGCGCTCCCCAACGATCTTTCTACCACTTCGCCCGCGCGAGCTTCTGGCAGCGCCTCTCTCTTCCTGCGCACGGCACGAGAGGCCGACGTGCACCTAAACACCTACACGGATGTGCGGCGTCGCCGTCGGTGCTCTTTTGTCTCGCCGGATAGGCGTCGGTCTTTGGTCGTGCCGCACGGCGCGTACGTTGGAGAGCTCACATGCACGGCCTGCGTGTAGGCAGTCTACGCTCGGCGGGTGCGCGCTGCCTCGGCCGCTGCGATGTGCGTCTCGCCGCTGCCGCGCAGCCTTTGGCCAGCTCTTGTTGTGGCGCGGCCGTGGCGAGGGCCGCGCTCGCGTGCCGCTGTCGTCGCGTGACCGAGTAGGACAGGCTGCTCTGACTGGTCGCGGAGAACGGCCCGGCGCGAACCGGGGGCTGTGCATTCAGGAAGGAGGCGGCAGGCGCGGCGGCCGCCGGGCCGCCGGCACGGTGGGTGCGAGACTCGAACAAGAGGGCTGGCGGGGAGACGCGGCCCGCGCCCCGTGCGGTGGCTCGATGGCCTGCTGCGCCCGGCGGCTCCATCCGTGCTGTGTGGTCCAGGACTATCCGCCAGACTCAGCCGCACTCAGCCGCACTCAGCCGCACTCTGCTGCACTCTGCTGCACTCTGCTGCACTCTGCTGCACTCTGCTGCACTCTGCTGCACTCTGCTGCTATCTTCCGCCCTCAGTAATACTCGGCCACAGTCGGGCACAGTCGGCCGTGCTCATGAACACTCTTCAATGCCGAACGAAGGCACCCTCTGACTCCACGGACTCTGCCACACTCAGTCACATCGAGTGCCAGGTGGGAAGGGCTCATCTCGGGGTCGGGGTGCGTGGTAGAGTGTGGCCGAGTGTGGCCGTGCCGAGGTTGGCCTTGTTTACACTCTGCTACAGTCAAGCACGATCAGCCGCCCTCGGTTACACTCTTTCTGGCTACGCCGCTATCTGCCCACCTCGGCAGCTGGGTAGAGTTCAACTCTCGTGAACCTCTCAGAAGTTCGGCACCCTAACACCGCCGACGACGACCAGCCTGGCGCGCTCCCCGCTCCGACGGGGGGCCGACATCGAGGATTGCCCGTCAAAAAAATTCGTCCTCGGCTCTCTCGAGGTCTCGAGTGTCGAGAGATACACAAAAGCGCCAATGTCGGCGGTGCGGTCGCGTCCAAAGGCAAAACGCCAGAACGCGACCGCCCATGCTACTAGCGCCACAACTGCCGCTGCCGCGGCCGCTGGGCTGCGTGGTGGACTGCGAGTGCGGGCCATTGCCTCCGCTCCGGCCGTGCAGTCCGGTGGCCACGACTCACCTGGGTCCGGTGCAGGGTGTGCAGGACCGAGTGCTGCAGCCAACGATCCGCAAATGGCTTGGCGTGCCGTTCGCCGCGCCGCCGACGCAGGATCTGCGCTTTGCCGCTCCACGCGATCCTGGCGCGTGGACCGAGCCAAAGTTTACGACCAAGCACGGCCGTTCGACGTGCTTCCAGTTCAAGGTCATCGACGGGCGGCTGGGCCTCAAGCCGATCGGTGCGCTCGCTCTCAACATGAGCTTGTCGGTGGGGTCGGAGGACTGCCTCTACTTGGACATCTACGTGCCTGCGAGCTGCACCTCGGAGAAGCCGTGCGCTGTGATGCAGTGGATATACGGCGGCGGCTGGATGATGGGCGCGCCCCACGCCGCGCCGCCCAGAGCCGCCCCTCCTGTACGTATCCAGCCGCCCTAATTCCGAGGCCGCTCTCTCACGCCGCACGTATCCAGCCGCCCTAATTCCGAGGCCGCTCTCTCACGCCGCAGGGGACAAGTATGAATATGGCATGTACGATGCGACCAGGCTGGCGACGTCCCAGGGGGTGGTTGTGATAATGGCCAACTACCGATTGCACGCGGCGGGCTGGCTCGCGCTCGATGAGATTGACGTGGGCAACCTCGGGCTCGCTGACCAGACCCTCGCGCTGCAGTGGACGCAGCGGAACATCCTCCACTTTGGGGGCGACCCCGACCGTGTGACCATCTTTGGAGAGTCGGCCGGCGGGATGAGCGTGTGCCAGCACCTCGTCTCGCCGAGGAGCAACGGCCTCTTCTCACGCGCCATCATGCAGAGCGGCGCATGCGACACGCGGATGTACTACGACACGGCCGAGGACGCGCGCGCCTTTGGGAGGCGGTACGCGGCGGCGCTCGGCTGCGAGGACGCGTCGACGCGGCTATGCTGCCTGCGGGAGCTTCCCATCGACAAGGTGGTCAAGTCGTACCTGGACTTTGTGATCCAGTGGCCCTTCCCCGACTCGCTCTCGACCGGCGCCGACTCGTTTGTTCCCTATTTGGAGCGCGGCGGCGCCTTTGGGCAGTTCATGCCCTTCAAGGCGAACATCGATGGCCAGCAGCTCCCCGACATGCCGCTGGCCCTCATCCGGCGAGGGAGGGTCAACAGGTCGCCAAGAGGTGACAGGGTGCAGGTGATCATGGGGACGAACCTGTGCGAGGGTTGCATCGACGTCCTCTCCGCCAGCTACCTCGACAAGGGCCGTGCGACCATGCCGCTCACGCAGACGGGGTACGACCGGCTTCTTACCTACATGGCTGCGTACGAGGAGGGCTGGGAGAGCCACGCTCCCTTGCGCCAGCGCGCGGCTCGCGCGGTGCGGCGCATCAACGAGGCGTACCCGGTCGGCAGGTACGAGACGGGCTGGCCGGGGCTCAACATCTCGGGCGGCCTCGACCCGCGCGGCGCGCACAACCGCCGGCTTGCCGACTTCTTCACCCACGCGCAGATGGGCTGCAGCACGCGCCGGGCGCTGCGCGCGCTGCAGGCGCATGGCCACGCTACCTACTGGTACCAGTATGCGTACCGCGCCGCGTCGCCGATCAACGCACTCGTGCTCGCGTGCGACGCGAACCATGTGGTCGGGGTCGACTACCTCGACCAGGGCTGCACGGTGTCGCATGGCGTGGAGCTGCCGATCCTCTTCGGTACGTGGGCGCTGCCCGGCGTGCTCGCGCCGCGGGACCACGTGATGACGGCGACGATGCAGACGTACTGGGCCAACTTTGCAAAGCACGGCAGCCCAAACGGCGCCGAGTCCGACGCGGTGCGATGGCCGATGTACGAGCCGAACGTGAGCCCATACGTCGCGCTCGACGTGCCCGTGTCGGTGCACGCGGACGACGTGATGAAATGCGATTTTTGGGACTCGCTGGGCGAACGCGGGGAAGCGGGCAGGCAGGCGCCCCCGACGCCGGTGTAACCCGATGGCTTCGCTCTTCCGTCCGGCTTTTTGAGGACTCCTGGACGATGGGCGGCCCTGTGGCTGACAGGCGCGGATAGAGGCGAAGACGACCAGGCCGGGGCTAACAGCGGCACGGGTCCCCTCTCCGGAACGGTCGTGCTGGGCCGCGGCGCACTCACCGGCCCGGAGGTATGGTACCCTCACAGGGCGAATCTCGAGGCTGCGAATCTCGAGGTCGTTGGCTGAGATCTACGACATGGCAGCCCCATCCTAACCCATCCTTCCTCGCTCATTACTTGCCGATGACGACTCGAGGCAGCAACGGCTGCGGGTGAGATTGTTGTGTTTTTGTTTTGCGCGTGCATGTGTGAGAGAGATTTTAGCAATACCAAACAACTCTAACACTCACACATCATTTGGGGCCTGGAGTTTTGTGTGTTTTGCATGCGGTTGAGACTTCGGTTTTTGGGGATGTGTTCCGACGAAATGACCGATGTACTTCTTGTGTAACTTGCGTGAATGCGTCGGCCGGGGTTGTGAATGCGTGGCCATTTGGGCTGATCCTGGGGCACTCGGAGTACCAACTCGTTTCTCTTGGGGGAGCGAACCTCGGCGCCTGCCACATCTCTGCACCCCCCAACAATGGCCGCCGAGGGCCTCCCCACCTCGGGAGCAGCGGCTAAGCCCAGCCGCGGGGCACGCGCTCTCCGCCTCGCGCCCGTGCTCGCCCTGCTCGTCTGCGCTGGACTCTTCTACGCGCGCCCGGCAGAGCCGCCGCCGTCCGACATCAAGCTGGCGATTGGCAAGCCTTTTGTGCAGGCGCGGCGCTCCCGGCACGGAGCGAACTAGCCTCTCCCCCTCCCTCCCCCCTCCCCCCCCCCTCCTTTCTATCGGCGTCCACCTTCTCAACATGAGTCTCGCCCCCATCCCCTCGCCACGGCCCAGGGCATTATCGCACTTTTCGAGATGAAGGTCGACCAGATCCGCTTGCAGCAGCCCGAGTCGCAGTGGACCCACTTCGCCGTCGGGATGTACGTCTTCGACCTCCTGATCGACATCCACATGGTGCCCGGCTCCATTCCCGTGCCCAGCCGCAGCTTCTCTCTCCTCGCCGACTCCGCGCGTGTCGGCGGCTCACCGCGCACCCCTTCCCACCACCCACGCACAGGAGCTGCTCTTCTTCGGCGCGCAGGCTACGCTTGGCTCGGCGGAGATCAATCTCTTTTTCCGAGGGGAGCGCTTCGGCACCCTCTCCTCCCGACCCTGCCCGCTCGGCGGCGGCGGCAAGATCAGGACGCAGATGGCGGGCCAACTGGTGGTGGACGACGTGGCCGTTTTCAAGAAGATCGCCCGCGCGGTGGTGCACGAGGACGAGTTCACCGTCGAGCTCTACGCGGTGATCTTGGGGAGTCACTCTCGAGATGGCTAGTCAGAGGAATGTGACGGGCGCGCCTGGCCGCCTAGGTGTTGGCGGTCGAGCTTCGCGGCACAGACCACGGGTGTACTCTCCGCAAGGATATGTGCCAGACAGTTGGCACGCTGCGCATCCCGGGCGTGACCTTCGCAAAGTCGGTCGTGCTCCACGGCGCGCAAGGCTTCAACGTCGAGATGGGCGCCCTCAAGCTCACCGACCTTCCCGCGACCGAGCCGGCCGGCAAGGCGCTACCTACGCTCCCCACTGAAACCTCTTACACCCTCCCCTCCCCCTCCCTCGCCTCCCTATATGTGTATGAGAGCCCTCCCCGCCCACCTTCCTCTGACAAAGGCGCTCATCTCGGTCGACGCGCGTGTGACGAACCCGTCCACCTTTGTGCTGAAAGACCTCGACGTCTTCTCGATCGACATCTATACCGACGACTCGTGGCCAAAGACGGAGCGGCCCGCGGCCGAGTCGCTCGGCGTCAAGTTCGCGGAGGTCAACACCGAGGCCGATTTCGAGCTCGGGCGCGGCCAGTCGGATTGGTTTCAGGTGCAGGGCTTCCTCTCGGTGCCGGAGCGGGAGTACGACCTCGTCAAGACCGCCGACGTGCGCCCAGCGGCTTCATCTCCCCACACAAGCACACCACACCGCGCGGCACGAGACCCCCCCCCCCTCAGAGCGTGTGTTCTGACACGACTGGCTGCAGGTCCTCAACCACTTCCTCACGTCCCGGCCGACGCCGCTCATCGCCTCCATCGTCGGATCGTCGCAGCCCTTCTTCAACGCCGCCGCCACGGGCGCCGCCCCGCCGCCCCTCTCCGCCTGCCCTTCCTATACGTCACTTCCGACGTCGCCTCCCTCAGTCCTCCCTGGACCCGGTCGTCGCCCGCAGGCACCGCCCTACGCGCCTTCCTGCCCGGCATGACGGACAAGTTCGGCGGCTGCACAAACATCGTCGTGCGCGCCTACATCGACCTCGACATCCCCGTCGCGGTCGCCTCCCTCCTCAACCCGTTGTCGGGCACGACGCTGCGTGCCTGAGCTGTACGTTGCTCGGAGGGGCGCCTCTACCCACGGCCCACGCGTCGGTAGGCACCACGCTGCACCAGTACCTGTACGTCGCCCTCTCCAACCCCTTCGACGCGACCCTCTACGTCTTCGGCCTCGAGGCGGAGGTCTTGTACAAGGACGTCCACGTGGGGCAGGCACAGCACCGCGAGGACAGCGAGATCGAGTCTTGTGCGAGAGAGTTCTTGCCCCCAGCCCTTGGCCCGCGTGACAGCCCGCGCCGCCTCCGCACTACCGCCCAGTGACTATTACTTGTCCGTGCGGCAGGTCTCGCTGCCGCAGCTCTCGCTCGAGCAGGCCATCGTGCTGCCGCCCTCCGAGAACGGCTTCCTCACGCCAAACGCGCGCGCCTCGCGCCCCCCCCCCCCCCCCTCTTCGCCTGCCCGCATGGCGTGCGCATGACGTCCCGTACCTCCCCCCTCCCTCTGTTGCCGCAGGCCTACCCGATCGAGCTCCACGCCACCCAGCTGCCATCCCTCCTCCAGCTGCTCCACGACATCGCCCCCAAGCCCGCCGGCAAGGGCGTCGCCTACGTCGACCTCAACGCGCGCATCCACGCCCGCGTCGGGGGCGCCGAGCCCATCCTCGTCTACAAGCAGGTCAACGTCTCGGCGCAGCTCAAGCAGTTCTCGGGCCTCCCATAGCGGCAGTGGGCGGCAAATTAGCGCGCGGCGGTGGCCCCGCTGCTTTCGCCCAGAATTTAGCGCGGCCGCCCGCGGCGGGAGGGGTCACACTGGAGAGGCAGAGGGGGAGCGAGGCCGGCGCGATGAGCCGGCGGAAGTGGCAAGCTAGTGTGGGGTGGCAGCGGTAGAGCTAGAGGTACAGTGAAGAGAGAGGACTGGGTCCCTGCCGCCCTGGGGCGTGGGGGTGGCAAAAATGAGCCGGCGTCGCTATTTAGGGCTTTAGCGCCCGTCTCTACGTCAGTAACTCTATACACAAGTCTACAGCTGCCAAGGCGCCTTGTAGCGCCACCCGCCACTGCTGCGTGCTGGCGTCTGGCGGCTTGGCTGTCAAGGAGACGTGGGTGCGATTAATTTGTGTCTCTGTGTGCGAGCGCAGCTTGTGTGATGTGTGTTGTGAAACAGCAGCGCCGCCCCCGCATGGCCGCCGCCAGCAATGCCGCCGCCAGCCGCCGCACCCAGCCGCCGCCGCCAGCTGCGCCAGCGCACTGCAGCGACCTCTTCTGCCCAGGCGCCGCCGCCACGAGTGTCACCGCCGCGAGTGCCGCCGCCGTCAGCGTCGCCATGGCCGCCGGCGCCGCCGCCGCCACACAGGCGGGCGAGAGAGGAGCTCCATAAGTGTGTGTGGTGGTTGCTAGCGGGGAGTGGTTTCCTGTACCGAGTAAGTCGCGGTATTTTTTCGAATAGCAAACGCGCATATGCCTGCAGCGCATCTTTAAGATGAAATTAAAGCATCACCGATGTTGCTGCACCTGCAGCTCTCAGTGTCTCTGTGTGCGAGCGCAGCTTGTGAAACAAGCCCTTAAGATAAAAAAAGCATCACCGATGTTGAAGCACGAGCAACAGCCGCTGCCGATGCCCCATTTTGAGACCCAGCGACGCCAGCTCTGCCAGCAACGCCTGTGGCTCCTCCCTACTCCAAGCCGCGAGGGCGCTGGCGCTCGCCGCGTCGCCTCTCGCCCGCAGCGCCGCTGCGAGCTGAGGCCAAACCTCTGCGCTTCCGAGCGTCTCCCGCAGGAGCGCCTCCGCGTCTGCGTCGGCCGGCGACGACGGCTCGGGCGCGGCCGCCGGCGCCGGCTCGGCTGGCGGCTTCGCGGCCGGGCCGCCGAGCGTCTTTGCCAGGGCCGCTAGCATCACGGCCGAGGAGGAGCGCGCCTCCTCGCGCCGCATGTCGTAGAACGCGTGGATCTCTGCCGACTCAAGCCCTCGCGGCCGCGGCAGCTCGACGCCTCCCGACTCAAAGTAGGCGCGCGCCTCGGACTCGATCCACGCCACCGCCTCGGCCGGCAGCTCGAGGTCGTCCGCGAGGCACTCGGACTGCAGCTCGCGAAGCCGCTCGAGCGTGAGTGGCATATTGTGGCTGAACCTTGGAAAGAATTTTACTTTTCGGAGAAATTTCGCGGCTTTAGGAAGGTAGGTCACCAGCGCGGTGTGTGTGGGGTGGACGCGGGACAGGAGATGACGGCACGCTGGAGCGACACAGACACAAAAACTCAAAGTTCTTTTTAGAAAGAAAGAATTTTAGGAGAAAAGAAAGGAGTGGTTCAATTTTGCGCGGGAGAGCTCTTCGCGCTTAAAAAGAAAGAAAGAAAACAGACAACCCAAGGGAGGGATGGGAGGACGGCGCCACGCCGCCACCACACAGGGATTTTAAGGAGAGGGGTGTGGTGCGCTAGCCGTCGCCCACCCTTGGGCGTCCGCCTCTTCCTATCTCTCTTCGCATTCTCTCTCCGATTCTCGCTGCAACCTTCGTGCCACCTCGCGGTCGCCCCCTTCTCGTCGTGCTCTCCCTTGTCGCTTCTTCCTCTGTCGCGTCGCTCTCCTCTGCCTCGTTCTGCGACGCCGCCGCCGCCTGCCGGTCCCTTGTTCTCGCGGCTTCTTTCGCCTTTCGTCGCAGCTCCGCCCTCCTTGCTGCATATCCTGGCCCCTCGAGTCTATCGAGCTCTCCTCGAGCAAGGACGAGTCTTCTGACGCCCACCGCTATCATTTGCCGCCCAGTCATATGCTCATATCATTGCTCAGGACCTCAGGCAGGTCCACTCTCTCTTCGAACACTTGCGCCTTCACGGATGATGCCGGCGCTGGGGTCCCCTTCAGGTGCATCGTAACAGCTGACAACGGGATTTCCACTGGTTCGTCCTCGCGCTTTGCAAACCGCAAACATTTTTTTCGGCGCTGTTCATAAGGATTCTTGGCGCGAAACACTGGCGCGAAGCTGCAAAGATATGCAGTCGGACGCGGCTCCTGCTGGAGACAACACGTACGACGAGGACGGCGAGAAGCTTGGCGCCTTCCTGCAGGACTACACCGAGGAGGATGAGGTGGGAAACCCGCTGCGGAAGTACATGAAGGTGCTGGAGCAGGTCGCCAACCGTGAGGCGAGGCGCGTCGACATCGAGCTCGACGATGTGGCGGAGCACATGGGCGAGGAGATGGCGGAGAAGGTCCGCCGCAACACGCTGCGCTACAAGGAGATCATCGCGTGCGCCATCGACAATGTGCTTCCCGCGCCGACCGCCGCCGCCGCCGACCGCGACGTCTTTGACGTCCTGATGGAGGAGCGTACCCGGGCGGCGGCGGCGGCTGCGAGCGACGCGGTGGGAGGCGTGGACCCCAACAACAAGGTCCCGGCCGAGCTGACGCGGCGGTACCAGGTCTTCGTCCTGCCGCGCGTCAAGGACAAGTCGGTGCCGCTGCGGCAGGTCAAGGCGAAGCACATCGGCTCGCTGCTGACGCTCAAGGGCATCGTGACGCGCGTGACGGAGGTGAAGCCGCAGATGAAGGTGGCGACGTACACGTGCGAGCAGGACGGCACCGAGGTGTACCAGCTCGTCCACGGCACCACCTTCATGCCGCAGACCAACTGGAACGGCATGACGCTCCACCTCCAGGCGCACGAACCGCCTCTCGGCCCAGCCCCGCCGCCCAAGCCCTGGCCGGGCCCCACTGGCCCCACGACCCCGCGCGCACCTCCCCCCCCACCGCCCCTCCCGTGCCGCGCCACGCCGACACCGACCGCCCCCTCGCGCCGCGCGCCGCCAGACGCGCGGCTCCAAGTTCGAAAAGTTCCAGGAGGTCAAGATCCAGGAGGAGCCCGACCAGGTGCCGCAGGGCCACGTGCCGCGCGCGATGACGGTCCACCTGTACGGGGACATGACGCGCCAGTGCGCGGCGGGGGACACGCTCACCATCTCGGGCGTCTTCCTCCCCGTCCCCTCCTCCGGCTTCCGCCAGCTCAAGGCGCGCCTCGCCCCCTCCGCTTCCGCCCCGGCCGCCAAGCCACCTCCGCCGAGGCTTTCGCTCGCCGCTTCCCCGTCTCGCCGCCCATTGCTCGACCCGCGCGACTGAACCGCCGCGCGTCCCGCCGCCCGACCGCACAGGCGGGCCTCATCACCAACACCTTCCTCGAGGCCATGAGCGTCGAGAAGCACAAGAAGTCCTCCGTCGACTTCACGCCGACCGCGGAGATGCAGGCGCGCGCGGCTCCGCGCAGTAGGGGAGGCGGCCGGAGAGGGGAGGAGGGCGGGAGCCGCCCGCACGCTGCCGCTCGCTCTCCCTGCCGCACTGCCTGCCTCTCGCCCACCCCGCGCCTCTCGCCCACCCCGCGCCTCTCGCCCACCCCGCGCCTCTCGCCCACCCCGCGCCTCTCGCCCACCCCGCGCCTCTCGCCCACCCCGCGCCTCTCGCCCCACCCCGCGCCTCTCGCCCCACCCCGCGCCTCTCGCCCCACCCCGCGCCTCTCGCCCCACCCCGCGCCTCTCGCCCACCGCAGGAGGAGCTCGACGAGCTCGCCGAGGAGCCCGAGGTCTACTCCAAGCTCGCCCAGTCGATCGCGCCCGAGATCTTCGGCCACGACGACGTCAAGAAGGCGCTCCTGCTCCTCATGGTCGGCGGCGCGACGCGGAAGATGTCGGACGGCATGCGGATCCGCGGCGACGTCAACATCTGCCTGATGGGCGACCCTGGCGTCGCAAAGTCGCAGCTGCTCAAGTACATCGCGAACACGGCGCCGCGCGCCGTCTACACGACGGGCAAGGGCTCCTCCGGCGTCGGCCTCACCGCCGCCGTCGTGCGCGACACTGTGACGGGCGATCTGGTCCTCGAGGGCGGCGCGCTCGTGCTGGCCGATATGGGCATCTGCTGCATCGACGAGTTTGACAAGATGGAGGAGGGCGACCGGACAGCCATCCATGAGGTGATGGAGCAGCAGACTGTCTCGATCGCAAAGGCGGGCATCACCACCACCCTCAACGCGCGCACCTCCGTCCTCGCCGCCGCCAACCCGGCCTTTTCGCGCTACAACACCAACCGCTCCGTCGAGGAGAACATCAACCTGCCCGCCGCGCTCCTCTCGCGCTTCGACCTGCTCTGGCTGATCCTCGACCGGCCGTCGCACGCCAACGACAAGCGGCTCGCCGAGCACGTCACCTACGTCCACCGCTTCTCCACCCACCCCGCCCTCGAGTTCGACCCCGTCTCGCCGCAGCTGATGCGCGCATACATCGCAGACATTACAAAGATCGAGCCCTCCGTGCCGCCGGAGCTGGCCGCCTACGTGGTGGACGAGTACGTCGCGATGAGGCAGGACGCCGCTGAGAACGTCGAGAACGGCTACGGCTTCACCTCGGCGCGCACGCTGCTCGCGATCCTGCGCCTCTCGCAAGCGCTCGCGCGGCTGCGGCGAAGCGGGACCGTCAGCCGCGACGACGTGGTGGAGGCGCGGCGCCTCATGTCGCTCTCCAAGTCGTCGGTGCTGCAGGTGGGCGACGACGACCGCGACAAGGCCAAGCAGCGCGGCGATGCCGTCTCACAGGTCTACCGCATCATCCGCGAGCACTGCGACAAGTCCAAGGCGCCCGCCGTTGCGATCGCCGAGATCCTGCCGAAGGTGCTCTCGCGCGGCCTCACGCAGGAGGCACTCGACGAGTGCCTCAGGGAGTACGCGGAGCTCGACGTGTGGCAGCTCGCCGGCAACGGCACGATCATCCGCTTTGTCGATGCCGGCGACGACGACGACGCGTAGCTGCCGAGCAGAGCTAGTAGCGCCCCCTTTTGTGCGTGGGGCGGTTTATCGCGTTTTGTGGGCGACGGTGCCGCTCTCTGTGTACACATGTGGAGTCCCCGTGGAAAAGGCATGAAAGTTGAAGGTTACGTTAACGACTGGGCGGTTACAGGTTACAACGTGCAAGCACCAAGCAGCTCCTCGCTCTTGGGCTACCCTGTTTTTGGTTCTCGTGGGACAAAGCGTTATGGCCCTGCGACACCGCGCACACACCCCTTCCGTACCATGCGGAATCGACCCTATCCAGTGCTCAAGTGCTCAACAAAACTCTCTCGCACAACACCGGCACGGGACTGGTGCGCACTGGCACAAAAAGGAGTCCCCGACTATCTAGAGTCCGCTCTCATTAACTCGGGTATTTCGGACGCGTCCCTGGACGGACGCATCATGGTTGGACCTCCCACTCCGTCGGCAGTCGCGCGTTACCTGCCCCACCCAACCCCTGCGCCTCCATACACGGAGGGCGAGCTAAAAGTACGTACACGGAGAAAGGGAGAGGGAGGTGAAGTACAAAACGGCTACAACATGGCCAAGCCCCTTTGCCTCACCAGCAATGTGTTCAAGGACCCGCATCTCAACTTTGCATTTGGAGGCACCGCCGATTTTCGCGGCCGCCACGGCGTGCTCTACAACTTTCTGTCTGCGCCGGGCCTTTCAGTCAACATCAAGACGGAGGAGGCGATCTTCAAGATCCACGACGGCGCGCTCACGGTGAACGGCTCATTTTTGACAGAGGCGCACGTGGTCGTGCGAGTCGGTGCAGTGGGCGGGCATGCCGGGCACAAGGCGACCGCCTCGTTCTGGTCGACCGAGCTGAACGAGCACAACTGGGGCTTTCAGGTGGTGAACGGAAGCTGCGGCGGTCGCCCCTTCAAATTCGGTAAACACGGGGGGAAGAAGTGCTTCGAGCTCACCATGGCAATGGAGCACTCTTCCGCCTACTTCGCCCTGCCGGATTGGACCGTGACCGTCCACGGAATGCGCTCTGTTCCAAACGACCTGGACTGGGTCGCGGGGCCCCGCCATCGGCTGGACATCAGCTTCGCCAGCCGCGGCTCGCTCGCCCGCTCCAAGCCACACGGACTTATAGGCCAGTCGTTTGCCACCCCGGGCCTGGTTAGGAACGGCAAGGTCGACGAGTACCCGTGGGAGGGTTCCTTCACCACAAGCGCAATGGCCGAGGGCGCCATCGAGGGAGTGGCGTCGCGGTACGAGGTGGCCTCGCCGTTCGCGACATCCTTCGCTTTTGGGCGCTTCGACGCGGCAGCTGTTAATGTCGATCCCTCTCCGA